CCTTGATTGCGCCCTCTGATTTGGTTATCAAACCCTTTATGTTTTGATGTAACTACTGCAGTAGTTGGTGGCTTGTTTTTCTTGATATTAGTTCCTTGGACCTTAGTCATAACTCCTTTGCTTTGTTTAGTATTACCCAATACCTTTTCACGCTTAATTTGAAATCTCCTAAGTAATTCAGCACTAATTTCACTTCACCTTCCAAATTGAAGATATCTTTCTCATGTTTGTCTGTAGTACTCATATTTTACTTTAAAAATATTCCTTCCTTCTGAGTTTTGTACCTACAAAATGAATACTATAATTATTGGATAGTACTCATGCTTGCTGTAACAGATTACACATTCACTCCTAGACACCAAACAATAACTTCAGCATAACATGAGTGATAGAGCTTCACATAGCAAGGGATTAGTTTCGTTATAAAGATAAGACACTAACCTACTTATGATTAAAATTTTATAATTTTAGAGTTTGGCATGCATAATCAGATTTTATTTTAAAACAGTTTAGTACTTGTTGTAACAGATTTCACATTCAATCTTGGACAACAACTAGTAACTATTGAATAACTTGAGCTTTAGATATCCAAATACCATGGGGTTAATTTTGTTAGAAAGATAAGACACTAAGCTTTTCTTAATTAAAATTTTAGAATTTTATAGTTTGACATGCAATACCAGTTTTTATTTAAAATCAGGTAAATCCTTGTGGTAACAGAGTACACATCCTCTCTTAGACATCAAAGAGTAACTACTGCACAACTTGAGCTCTACGTCTCCAAAAAGCATGGGGTTAATTTTGTTAGAAACATAAGATACTAAAATTTTCATAATTAAAATTTTAGAATTTTAGATTTTGACATGCAGTACCAGATTTTATTTTAAAACTGGTCAATTCTTGCTATAACAAATTACACATCCTCTCTAAGACACCAAATAGTAACTAATGCATAACTTGAGCTCTAGGTCTCCAAAAAGCATGGGGTTAATTTTGTTAGAAACCTAAGATACTTAAATTTTCATAATTAAAATTTAAGAATTTTAGATTTTGACATGTAGTACCAGATTTTATTTTAAAACTGGTCAATTCTTGCTATAACAGATTACACATCCTCTCTAAGACACCAAATAGTAACTAATCCATAACTTGAGCTCTAGGTCTCCAAATAGCATGGGGTCAATTTTTTTAGAAAGATAAGATACTACGCTTTTCATATTTAAAATTTGAGAATTTTATAGTTTGACATGCAGTAGCAGTTTTTATTTTAAAACAGTTAAATCCTTGCTGTAACAGAGTACACATCCTCTCTTAGACATCAAAGAGTAACTACTGCATAACTTGAGCTCTAGGTCTCCAAAAAGCATGTGGTTAATCTTGTTAGAAACCTAAGATACTAAACTTTTCATAATTAAAATTTTCATATTCCTATTCCATAACAAAACTGAGGGGAAACAGACTCCCTCAATTTAGTCCCCATGGATTTTTATCACAAAAATAATCTCTCAACTAAAACATCATCCTTATAGAGAACTAAAGTAGTGACACAAAGGACGAATTTGGTAGATCCTTATAAAATTTTTGTTTTAGTCCTTATGAAAAAATTATTTGATTTTAGTCCCTTCATTTAATAAACAGCCTGATGGCACACACGGATCCTTGGCTTCTCTCTTGATGAGGAAAGAAACATCATCTCTTCTTAGATTTTGAATTCCTTATCCGAAGACTCTCTAATATGACATTTATGCTGATACAACAAAATATATCTGGAAAGACCTTCTAGATTGGTTCAAACATAAAAATGAACCAAGAAAAACATTTGAAAAAAGATCTTATACGCAGGACCAAAATCAGTCAGTCAACATTTTTCACATCTGAAAGGAATTAGGAAGAATTTAATTAACTTCAGCCTCCATGCGCACTTGCACATATGGAGTAGTGCTCGAGCATTGATTGAAAATGCACAACAAGATTGCACACTTACACTTCTCATGGCATGGGATTAAATTTTTTTGAGAACAACTCTGTAAAGAAACCATCTTATGTGATTATCAATGTGGGGAGGTAAAGACAGTGGGTAAGGGTAATTCATTTTTGTATAGTTGTGGTACAAGACAAAAGGTTGTTCCATGTTTTTGTGAGTAACAAAAATCAATAATTATTTTGTTACGCACGCCATCCTTATTTTTGTGTTGTTTCAATATTTTTAAGATAATTATATAAAAATCAATAAGATTATCGTGATTAGATTTACACTATCAGTATATTATCATGAAATCCCTTTTTGAAATCAAATATAAAACAATCATGTTTGTGCTATTCTATCCTTCATGTTTTAGTAAAAATAACGCACTCTTAAAATGACCAACTCTAAGTCTCCAATAGCCTATTTATGTTCTAATCATGCAAGCTGTATTACAAATGTATATTTAATAAAATGAAAAAGAAATATATTATTTACAAAAGAAAAGTAGCAAGAGTATTGCTAAAAGAGAGATAAAATCATTTGAATTTCACTCTTTTTTTTTACAACCAAAAGTGTTTTTTATAAACAAAATGAATTTTATTAATCAAATAAAAAAAGCTTACCTTAGCATGAGACATGGCTAAAATCAGCATAAAAGGCTCTAATACACAAATTCACAGGCAGCTAGTTAAAATCCCCCAAAACTGATGATGATATAAAAAAGCCTTACACAATCTAAACAAATTCAAATCATAGCAAATGAAAGTTAGTCCATCCTCGGGACAAGAGAAGCAGGTGCCTGAATTACGTAACTGTAGGCGTAGAGAAGCTGTAAAAATATTATAATCATAAAAAGTAATCCACGGAATGGGGCATTCTAGAAATTTAAATTTTTGTCAAGGGTTTGAAGTCAGTTCTTCCCCCTATTACTAAAGTTTACTCACTCATTATTCAATATGAAAAACACTAAAGTATCTGGTGTCAGTCCTTCACTCTCCCGCTTGAAAAATCATCTCCAATTGACAAAGTATTTCTACAATCTCTACTTGTAAGTAGTAGTCTAGCTCATGGACTTGGATAACTTTTTGGCACAAAGAACGAAAAAAATAACCAAGACGAATTAGAGGATGAGCCACTGCATTTGGCATTGTGCTTCTTATTGCTATTTGTAGTAAGTAATGTAGCATGAAATGGGCATCGTGACTCTTATAACCAGATATTTTCCTTTCAGTAATGTGCACACATCTTGATATGTTTGATGCACTACCATCTGGTAACTTACTGCCCTTGAAAACACCACAAAAAGTTGACTTCTCTTCTGAAGTCATTGAGAAACATGCTTTTACAAACTTTGCACGACCTCCACCAATATCAATTGGATGAAGATTCTTTTTAATGCCCATCTCTTGCAAATCATAACGGGCCTTAATATGATCCTTTGTCTTGCCTGCGATATCTAATAAAGTCCCAATAATATTATCAAAAAAGTTTTTTTCTATATGCATTACATCAAGATTATGACACAATGGATTATCAGCCCAATATGGCAACTCAAAAAAAATTGACTTCTTCCACGGGCCATCAATTTTTTTTGTCTTTTGGTATTTCCAAATAAATTGTTGAAATCTTTTAAGATTTCTAATATCTCCTCCCCTTTTAACAAACTTGGTGCAGATCTATGTTCTTGTTTTCTATTAAAAGAACTCTTATTAGCCCTCCAAACATGACCCACAGGCAGAAAGACACGATGATCCATATAACACATCTTTCGACTATGCTTCAAACAGATTGAAAAAGTGTTATAATTGCAACATGCACATGCCAACTTTCCTTTTGTGCTCCATCCAGACAACATAACATACCTAGGGTAATCACTAATTGTCCATAAAAGAGCTTCATGCATTTGAAATGTTTGATTCCTTGAGGCATCATATGTCTCTACTCCTGATTCCCATAACTCCTTCAACTCCTTAATCAACGGTTGAAGATACACATCGATATTATTTCCTGGAGACTGTGGTCCGGGAATCAGTAAAGACAACATCATATACTCAGATTTCATACACATCCATGGTGGAAAATTGTATACCACCATCATCACAGGCCATGTACTATGCGATAAGCTCATAGTCCTAAATGGATTAAATCCATCACTAGCCAAGCCAAGTCTTACATTACGAGTCTCGGAAGAAAACTCAGGATGAAGCTTATCAAAGTCATTCCACACGTGGCCATCAGCAGGATGTCTGAGCTTCCCATCCTTCGAGCGCTCTTCTTCATGCCACCTCATTGAGTTGGCTGTCTTTGAACACATAAACAACCTTTGAAGCCTTGGAATCAATGGAAAGTGTCTCAAAATTTTTGCTGGAACTTTGTGCTCATTTTTTCGTTGCTCAAGCTTACTGTCAACTTGGGGGAATTCTTTCCATCGTGAAGCTTCACAAAATCTACAAGAATTGTCATTCTCATAGTCTCCCCAATATAACATGCAATCATTTCGACATGCATGAATCTTTTTATAATCAAGGCCAAGGTCTCTAATCATGGACTTTGCTTTATTAAAAGATTCAGGAATATTTAGATCAGGAATGGCTTCTTTGAGTAACTCCAAGAGAGCAGTGAATGATGCATTGCTCCACCCATGTAGACATTTCAACAAGTACATTCGAATTATGAAAGATAACGTAGAGAAATTTTTACATCCTGGGTAAAGTTCTTGTTTTGCCTCATCAATCAAATTGTAGAATTTCCTAGCATCTTTATTAAGACCTTTGTTAACTCCCTCTACTTCTACCACATTTCTAAAAGTGTCATACAATAACCAATCAATGTCATCACGTGAGTCCTCTTCATCTTCTATGTTTTTGTCAATTTCCATTGGCCTTGATATTCGTTCGCCATGGTGTACCCAAACATTGTAGCCTTCCACAAATCCAATAGCTATTAAATGATTATAAACTACATTTCTTTTTTCCCAACAACAATTTCCACACTTGGCACAGGGGCATAAAATCTCTTCTCCTTGAGGTCTTCCTTTACTATAGGCAAAGTCTAAGAATGACTCAACACCATTGATATAGTCTCTATTAAACCTTGGTAGTTTTGTCCACTTTTTATCCATCACTTTTAATCTAATCCAAATGATAAGTTCACATATTATAATAATCATAATGACAATTTTCTTTAAGTAATTTAATTAATATTATGCTACTGAAAGATTTAGAAAAAGGCTATATTAATTTTAAAATTAAATTCAAAATAAAAAACAAATTTCAAAGGAATAACATAAACATCACAATCAAGCCTAAAAATAATGTTTTAAAATGCATTTTATATTCCATGGTAAAAAGAAATACAACAAAATACTTTACAAAATTTAGTCAAATCAAATATATTACTTCTAAAATAATTAAATAACTTAAACTTACCGGGAGTAAGACAAAGAACTTGACCTGATGAACAATTGTTATGTTTTAATTTCCTCCGCAACACCTGTGACAAATAACAAAGCTTTTTTATTCACATATTAAATAAATATTATTCCTTTTAACTGATATGAATAAAAAGGTTTTTAATTTTATTTTATTTCTTATTGATATGGAAGTAAGTATCATCCTAGGAGAGAAAACACTAATACTTTACCATTGTTCCAATAACAGAATTTGCTTTCTTATTTTCCTATTCACTTTTAAGTTAATAATAAGGATAAAAGGATTCAAATTCTATTTAAGTCTAATGTTTTATTATTTATATTTAAATTCAAAGGAAGTATATAAATGAAAAATGTGAAATATGGCAACAAAACACAACCTCAAACAAGAAAGCACCAACTCAGGGTGGTTAGCAAGAAAGTTTGATCCATCTATAAAGTAAAACCACAAATTATAAACTCATCAAGTTTATTTTTGTTCATCATCCAAAAAGTTTCATACTAATAAAGATTTTATGTTTATTTATAAACTCATTCATTTACTTATTCTAACGGTGTAATACTCTGTTTGTATCACAATAATCATGATAGTTGATCCTGAATGACAAGTATGCAGGTTGCACCTTAGTTGATACTGAGTGACAAGTATGTAGGCTAAACCTTCCATTCAATCATTCTTAGAAGACATGGTTTTAGTGTAACAACTTCCAGTCAGTCATTTAATCTCTGTCCTCTTAGCATAAAAGAAGAACAACATGGAATCAGTAGAGTACATGTTGACTTCTTTGTATAAATTAAAATGATAAATACATAAAAGCAATTTTTGGTAATTAGCATGTAAAATATTTCAATTTCACAGCATATTCCTGAGAAATCTCTAATGCAGTACGCCACCAGTACTTATATTTTTGGAGAATAAGTTGAGAACAACTCTGTAAAGAAACCATCTTATGTATATATTAGAGAAATGTTTTAAGTACAACTTATAGTGTAATAGATCATAAAACGGAGCATGTTTTACTCTTCAAAAAGTGATGGGGGAGAAAGCCTAAAAAATCTAGTCCAAACCAACCAAGTCCCGAAATTACTGTTAAAAAAAATAGAAATTGAATGAATGTTAAATGTAATTTCTAATTTCTACAAGTCAAAATATAATATCTAAATGCATTTATAAGCAGGACTAGCAGGCAGTGTTGTCTCAAGTGTCTTTTTTTCTTAGACATATTAATCCACGGAATGGGGAATTCTAGAAATTTAACATGCATAAAACTTTACATAGTTCACATTTCTGAATCATAGATTTTTATGTGAGCGCACCCCAAAACATGGACTACAAGCTGCAGAATCAAATACAATTGTGCTAACTGTCAAAATTAATTAATTGGAAAATAAATAGACAAAACTTATTATTCAAGATGGACTATAAGTTGCAGAGTCACACTTACTAAAAAATAAATTGACAAAACTAGAAAAATCAAAATACATGGACATCTCTTCGGCTCGATTTTTAACATGTTTTTTCTACCATTTATTTTTAATATTTGTTGAATAGTAATGAGAAAAATTTATCTATATTTACCATTTATTTTCAATTTCTAAACAATTTTTATCTATAAGACATAAAATTTATCACAGAAGACAGGTGCATTTTCATTTTTATGGATAGAAGAATAAATTCCATGCAGCATAAAAAAGTCAAGACAAAAAAATGAGAACCAAGGTGCAGAAATCTATCCTGTTTATCTGAGCATCAGAAAGGCCAACTCCCAAGTCCTATTATCAGAACCCCAAAGAGAAGCCACAAACATATTCCTATTCCATAACAAAACTGAGGGGAAACAGACTCCCTCAATTTAGTCCCCATGGATTTTTATCACAAAAATAATCTCTCAACTAAAACATCATCCTTATAGAGAACTAAAGTAGTGACACAAAGGACGAATTTGGTAGATCCTTATAAAATTTTTGTTTTAGTCCTTATGAAAAAATTATTTGATTTTAGTCCCTTCATTTAATAAACAGCCTGATGGCACACACGGATCCTTGGCTTCTCTCTTGATGAGGAAAGAAACATCATCTCTTCTTAGATTTTGAATTCCTTATCCGAAGACTCTCTAATATGACATTTATGCTGATACAACAAAATATATCTGGAAAGACCTTCTAGATTGGTTCAAACATAAAAATGAACCAAGAAAAACATTTGAAAAAAGATCTTATACGCAGGACCAAAATCAGTCAGTCAACATTTTTCACATCTGAAAGGAATTAGGAAGAATTTAATTAACTTCAGCCTCCATGCGCACTTGCACATATGGAGTAGTGCTCGAGCATTGATTGAAAATGCACAACAAGATTGCACACTTACACTTCTCATGGCATGGGATTAAATTTTTGTCAAGGGTTTGAAGTCAGATTCTACTATAAGATCCTCTTCCCCCTATTACTAAAGTTTACTCACTCATTATTCAATATGAAAAACACTAAAGTATCTGGGGTCAGTTCTTCACCCTCCCGATTTATTCCCGGACAGCCTTTGATGTTAAAAACGTAAATAGGCAACAATCTGGTGACACTGGAAACGAAAATGCCAAAAACGAAAATTCCATTGATAGGTGGTTGGATACCTAAGATAAAAATAACATAAAGAGAAACAGATAAAAGGCACAGAGAAGAGAAAGATGAGAAAGATATCATACCTGAGAGGCGCCTAGTAATAGCAATCGTAGAACAACTAGCTAAACGTGATGAGAACGATGAAGAGAGGAACGCACAGAGATGAGAAAGATGAACAACTAGCTAAACGTAATGGGCAAATTTTAGGGATTTTGTTTTTTGATTTTAGGAGACGAGAAGCTTTTTGTTTCCTGCAAATTAATATTTTTAGAATTAAAGATAGGGAGAAGTTTCATTTTTTTAATTAATATTTCTCGCGAATATGAAAGGGTGGGTATAATCTTTAAGCAACGTTTATAAGTGTTGCCTATTAACTTTAAAGAAATAAACTTCTTATTTTAATAATAAACATGGTTAATAATATATTTTGGCAACATTTTTTATTGTGTTGCATGATATAAAATAAGCAATAATTTATAAATTGTTGCTTAATATCAATTTTAAGAATGGTTTTTAAACTATTGGGTAGAGAAGTGGCCATGATTAGAAATTTGTTGCTTGTCTCATATTTCAAGAACAATTTTGTTAATATTGAAAAGAGAATAGTGCACGCTTTGATCAAGTGTTGCCTATATGTGCTTTTAGGAACGGTTTTATGATTGTTGTAACACAAAGTGCCAACAGTTTACCAAATTGTTGCCTATTCCATATTTCGAGAACATTTTTTTAGGCGTTGCCTAAAAACTCGTTGCTTAATATAAAAAATGTTGTAGTATTCCTTGAGTTAAGTAATTCTTTTTTCACCGATTATTTTTGTGTTTTGTGTTCTTCCATGTCTCATATTGGTTGTTCTGTTTGGATCTAAGTTTTTGCTTAAAATTTGATGGATCCAAGTTAGTGATTTCTAATTGTGTTCAATCTGGCAATTACTACAAATTAGGTTTCCTACTTGTGCTTATTTTTTTGGTTTGATTGAGTCATTGCTTATTTCCTTGATTTGATTCGGCTGTTTCATTGAGTATGCATGTGTTTTGATTTTATTTTTGAATCTTAGTTTTGTCAAGTCATGTTAGTCCTTTAAAATGTCAAAAAATATTCAAGATGTGCTTATGTTCATATGCTGAAAATTTTTGAGTAATTTTTGAGTATTGGCCAAACCTCTCTTTTTAATCATATGTGCCTTGCTTGCTTGCTTTTATCTTTACATTTTTGAGTTCATGTTCATCATTAGATCATTGGTGAACTCCTACAGTTATGTTTCTATTGTGTTTCAATAGTTTTCAAATTCTACTTTCCATTTCAAATCTTGATTCAATTGTACCTTGAATTTTAAGTGATCTATTTTACTTCTAGTGCATTATTTGTATTGGATTCAAATTTTAAAAGATTGATTGCTGAAAAATAGAGGAAATACAGAGTATATCAAAGTCAAAGAGTTTGAAAAGAAAAGAAAACAAAGAACAAGAGAATCCAAAACAATTTCCAAAATTATAGTGCACTAGTACTCTAATTTTCACTTGAAATTGGTCATTCTAGTAGATCCGGTTTATATACATTTGATTTGTAACAATTTTGATGTAAAAGGCAATTTATCTTTGTCGCCACCGGCCCGAAACGGGCTTTCGGC